ATCCTTACGAAAGATACTTTTATAAATATCCTGAGTTTTATTTCCTTGAATTTCAGACGTCTTCATAATTCTACCTGAGTTCAGCTATGACAAAGTTCCACGTATAGCATATTTAAGGGAGTTTACATGCGTTCTCACATGTAATTCTCAAAGAGTTTTGTCGATTTCGACATGGAAACCCCAGGCCAGAGCTGAGTTAAGCATACTTACCTGGCGTAGAGGTTAACCGTGATCACGAAGGCGGTTCCTCCGGAGTGAGGCTTGGTCATTGCACATTCGGCTGAGTTGACCTCTGCGATTATTCCTAATGTGAATAACTCGTGCGTGTAATTTTTGGTAGCCGGGAATGGCGTACGCGCCGTCCCGACATATGTGAATAAATTTAAATTAGATAATAGAGAAATTTGATGTCGAAACTATAGAAATTGTAGACGAACTACGGGAAGAATTCATCATAATTTAGGAATTAAAATAGAATTGCGTTTATTACATATTACTTAAGGATTGATTTATTCCAAAGTTAAATATATATTGTAATTAGAAAATGGGAAATCTTCTTGAACGTTGTTTCCAACTCCAGCTTTACATTGAGAATTGAAGTGCGCTTACTTTCTTCTGCACGATTGTTTTGTGGGTTTGCTTTTGGAGTGTATATTCGGGTTATTAAGAAAGTAAGGGAACAATCCAATATAGATATTATATTAATAATTATAATATATTATAAACTATTTCAATGGCAACTACTTGCAAGTAAGAATAACTCTTGTACGGATATAGACAAGGAATACAGATCAATTCGCAAGTTTCTTATATACTTATATAATTTATTACAATCAACAAGTGTGCATAATACATTAGGTAATCCTCCATAAATGGATCTAATTACATATTGATAAGATATCATATATTTTGATTAATATTGAGTCCAATAATAAAATATTCATACAAAAGAGTTGCCATATTCCGTGCTTATGCTCTTGTCATATATAAAACCAACTCAAAACTCTTTAAAAACAATTTTTATTTGTATTAAATCAGTTTTAAGAATCAAAGCGATTCATAGTAATATATATAATAAATCAGATCTCTCAATAATTAGCATTGGCAACAGTTGAGCCAACTGGTTCATCGATCAATAGCAGCGGCAGAGATGCAGCTAGAAATCGAAGGCAATCTTAAGCCAACCCAATGCCATTCAAGCGATTTCATTTGATACTCTTCATTAGCTCTTTTCCTTCATGCTTGCCTCTTGCGCGTTTTCTTATTTATCATCATTTATTTAAGCGATTCGCTGCTGTGGCACGCCTTAAAGCCCGTGCCCAAAGAAAGGAGTCCGAAAATTGTCGCTGTCAGATTACGGTGCAATATTGCTTCCAGTTGCCATATCCTGCTGCCTTTCCGCCTAAGCTCACGTCGTTCTCGACCTCGTCGAGGACGACGACGACGACGTGCGACCCCCTTTTTCTGGCTTTGACACAAGCAACAATTTACTCGGTTTCAGGTTAAAGTCATATCGTTAGCATTAACGCTTTTTGATTTTTATTGAGTCAGCTAAATTTTATTCGATTTGCCAGCCATACACATACACAAAACACAAATACTTGTACACACACACACACACACGCACACAGTCACGCATCCCCCGTGACAGGAGGGCTGTACAGCATAGACAACAACACTCGTGGGGGAGGAATATTTTCGAGCTTTAATGATGTTGAGCGACCAACCAATGAACCCGCCGGCTTCTCAGGCATTTTGGCTTGGGCAGTGGTGCAGACGGTGGTTCGGAGCTGGTCGGGTAACCTGTTTTCCGAGAGTCTATTTGGGAAGTAAATGAAAATTTGATTTGGAATTTCGTGTGCGTTGTGCGTCGTGCGTCGTGCGTTGTGCTTCATGAAGATCCCCTCTTCACGATAATGTTGATGACGACGTCAAAGTCGAAGATGGGCATGTGATAAAATAAATTACGGGCAGATTAGTGCGAATTTAATTATCATTTGTTCCTTTGATGTAGCTATGGGTAAATAAATAGAATAAATACCGTGCATATAGATTATAGGAAGCAGTTCCCGGCGTGGCATTTATAACCTCATTATCCGTGGCCCTCGCCTTTCAGCGAGGAAATTGCAATAAATACCCTGGATTATAACTTACTCAAGATACATATCTGTGCATGTCGAGAAAGTCTAGAGTCAATGAAAGTGTTGCCTACTTTTTAGATCATAGCAATGCTGTGAGCTGCAATTTCCAAACGGTTCTAGCAGTCCAGCATTGGAGTTCTCAGGCCAGAGCTGAGTTAAGCATACTTACCTGGCGTAGAGGTTAACCGTGATCACGAAGGCGGTTCCTCCGGAGTGAGGCTTGGTCATTGCACATTCGGCTGAGTTGACCTCTGCGATTATTCCTAATGTGAATAACTCGTGCGTGTAATTTTTGGTAGCCGGGAATGGCGTACGCGCCGTCCCGACATATATTAATAAATATGAGTTTGTTTTATTTTTAGCATCTGTTTGTGTTATGTCATTTTGTTTCGTTACCTTGCGAGCCATTGTCAATAAGGTTTCTGTAAATCTACTTAGCTCCGATTGAATGCTGCGCTGCTGGTAGCCTGTGGTTACGGCGTTCGGCGATATGCCCCGTCATATGTCGGGCTCGTCGTCATTGTCATGGCCAAATTCGATTCGATGACGAGGACACGAGACGACGACGCACTTGCTTTTGCAAGTTGATGAGGGGGATGTTTTCGGGAATGCCAACCCTTTGTTTGACCAGCTTTCATTTTTTTCTAGACATATACGGATTTTGCGTGCGTCCCCGCTTCCGTGCGGTTACACCCCTTTCGCCAGCGTGACACCCATGGTAACCAGTTAATTTATAGAGCTTAAACTGTCTGATGAAAAGATGCAAATGCTAAGAGATTTGTTGCAATTGCGATATGCAGGAGTTGCTTCGGGCTTAAGTGTGATTATTGTTATGGCAACCCGAATATTTTACCCCAAATGTAGCTTTCCCTGGCAGATATACAGAGTTTTCCTTTAAGGTTTGTTTGAAATCTGTGTCACAGTCAAGCAACGAAATATAAAAAGACATTTTGCCTGGCAACATCCACGCTCATACACCATATCAGTTGTGGAACATCTTATCAATCTCAATGATGAAATATCCATCAGCAGACAGCCGCAGTCAGACACTCAGGCAGTCAGGCAGAAAGATAGACATGGCCAGTTGACTATTATTTGCTCGGCATGCAGCCTCCTGTCGCTGTCAATGCCCATCCGTTCCTAAAGGCTACCCAACGTTATTAACAACAACAACAAGTCCAAGTCGAGCTGATACTCTGTTCCAGCCTCAGGGCCAGTCGCCAGCCCTTTATGAGTGCTTCATTGAGAGCGGGTGTTGGCACGAAGGCGGGCACAACATCAACAGCAACAGCAATAGCAACAGTAACATCAACGTGCTCGTCATCACATTGTATAAATATCCTCGAGCACGTATATTTCATGGAGACACGTGCTGCATGTTTGCGGGCCGGTCCAAATCGTCAGAGATTAATGCACGCATTAGTAGATTTAATGCATATAACGCTGAGCGCGCGTCGTCCTCGTCGTCCTAGTCGTCCTAGTCGCTGTTCATGTTGTTGCGATTGCCATTTGAATGGGTATTGCCATTGCTATTGCCATTGCTGTTGCTATTGCTATTGGCGTTGGCGTTGGCGTTGGCGCTGGCGCCGTCGTCTTGGCTACCATCGTCGCTTTTGTCGTCGATACAATTGAGACATTCTGGGGAATACCCTGGCATTCATTTGTTCAGCTACCTCTTGTCCCTGTTACCGAGAAGCATAAAAGCTGTGTAAGTAGGAGTCACTTGAAAGAATAGATGCACTAAGGCACTACGAATTGCGTATACACTTCGCTGAGTGTTGCGTATTAATTGAATTTCGTGGTAAGAAATTTGTCAGAGCATGCAGTTTGGCTTAGTTTTAATCCGTCTTATATTCTTGTTATACTTCATAGCATTCTAGTTAAATTCGATTATCAGTTAGCTGCAGCTTGCGACATGAACAAAGAGAGTTAATCTCCTCCTTATTACTTGGGCGATGTCTTGCCTAGATATGCTCGCATGCAATTTGAGCTCATAATTAGTTCTGCTTATCATCTTGCAGTAAATTTAAATTTCTAATGAAGTCTGCTTGCAGAGGCAACATTTGAGTTAGAATTCCCGGCGTGATGCCCCTTCGACATTAGCATTGAATTTCAATATATTTCATGGTTTTCAATCAATTTCATGGTGAAGTCACAGCGGGGTAGCAGCAACTCCCAGTGGACCTGTCAAGAGTTTTGCAAACAGAGTAGAAGTCTGCCATCATCAACAACATCATCAGCATCAGCAGCATCATTTTCATAGCTGTTCTCATAAGCAGTAGCTGCTTTATTTAAAGCAAATAATAGTCTTTTGAAGGTAAGCAAGCAGCGCAGGGCATGGAGAGATACGAATTGTACTTCCAACTGATGCTGAAGCTGAAGCTGGAACTGAAACTAAAACTGAAACTTTCTGCAACGTGCACATTTTGTGTGGCAAAGTTTCGGCAAGCAGATTAATTTGTAAAGCAGCTAACGCTTTTTGTTCGTGCCTGGCGTATTTCAAGAGCTTCAGGATTATGAATAACCAACTACAGCTACAATGCTTTGACTCGATGTAAATGTAGCTGCCTGTACCTGTATCTGTATTTGTGTCTGTGTCTGTGTTTGTATCTGTATCTGTATCTGTATCTGTATCTGTATCTGTATCTGTATCTGTATCTGTATCTGTATCTGTATCTGTATCTGTATCTGTATCTGTATCTGTATCTGTATCTGTATCTGTATCTGAGTAAATGTCTGTGCGCGTGTGTGTGGATGGATTAATATGCAAAAACTGCAACATGAAAGTTACTTAATTTGGTTTTGTTTTGTTGCCAACAAACTGTTTTTTGACTAACATTCATATCTTTGTTACTTTAGGAGCAGGACGAGCACCACCGGAACCCTACTTTGGCCGTTACATTGGACAGTTTACGAACTTTGCGCATGGCATTAAGGTAGGTAAACTGCATGGCTTCCACTATATAAATTACAAGCTGGGTTTTTTTTGTCATTTGCAGGGCTCCATTTATGCCGTGGACGAGTCAACGCTGTTTGTCAAGTCCTTCGCCTACGATGGCACCGGACCGGATGCGTTCTTCTGGGTGGGCAAAACGGCTAGACCATCGCCCGAGGGCTATATAATACCCTATCCGGAGGAATATATCGGCTCGTATGTATCGCTGATGCAATGAAATTGGTTGAAATATTTGGGGTTTCAGCATTGGGCGATATTTTCGACGGCGGCCACTCGAGCGCAACGGGCCATTTCCTAACACTCAGCGTCTGCATAGGCATGTGTGTGTGTGTGTGTCTATATATATGTATGTGTGTGTGTATATCCTTACAGATTTTACGTTACGCACGCCTGACAATGAAACCACTTTTAAAAATTAAAAAACATTTTTCATCTTGGCTGCCATTTGCGAAGTCGCCTTCGTTCCGTTCGCTTAATGCTTTATTGTTGTTGCTGTTGTTGCTGTTGTCGCTTCGTTGCCTCCTAATGCGAAAAACTCATTTATTTCTTTACATTAGATCTGCGGTCATATGTATGCATTGTATTTTGCGAGCATGTGTATGTGTGCTCGAAAGCTTGTGGCATTGGCAACAGCCCACAACAACACCAAACAATGAAAGCCGGTGCCGCAAGTGCAGGCCCAAGCGAGACAGCCGCTGTGTGTGTTTGGGAGCGAGTTGGATAGAGACGAGAGAAAGTAAGAAAAAGCGAACACATTTTAGCCGCATTCTGTGTGTATTTACTTTAAGTCCTTCCAACCACAAGGTTATGTCATACTAGTGCGAATTTTACTTACCTTGCTTTCTTCTCAGCGGCTTCTTCACCCGCCTCTGCCTCTGCCTCTGCCTCTGCCCTTGTTCATCCTACTTAGCGAATACCAGAATTGCCGGCTACTTGAACTGCACTAAGCCGTGCTGAGCTGCTGAGCTTGCTCCGAGCCGTGCACTGACGCAGCGCACACAATTTGACGTCATTTGATGCCTGCTTAAGCATCGGGCACTTAGCTGCTGCATATTTTTAATTATTATCATTTAGATATCATTCTAATGTTCACTGCGAATATAGTCACCTTTCATCCTATACCAAGGTAAAGGTAAAGTACTCACACTTGTCACTGACATTCAGTCCCGTGCCCTAAGCATATTTAAAGCTGCCATGCCAATGCATCGCTTACCTGTCAGACCAAGCTGCGAGAGCGAAACTCTTGTTGAACTACCATAAAATAACAATCATTGTGTACAACGAACACGTAAATACATATACATGCGTATATAACAAAGCCTTTTATACCCTGAACCCATTGAGAATGGCAAATCAAATGTGTGCAACCGCCAAGAGTCTGAGTCCATAAAGAATATATATTTATGTATATATATATATACATACATATATATATATTTATGTATATATATATATATTCCGTCAGTTTGTGTCCCTTTCTAAGCGTGTCTACAAAATGTGTGTGCTTCCTTAAATAACTCGTAAACTACACGTAGCACTTAGTACATCTTCTTCATATCGACAAATATCAATTCCTGAACCTTTGAACTGTGCTTGATGACAATATATAAGTGCTATTCTAACATATAAAAAATTAGCCTTTACTAAAAGTTATCTGATTATTAAATAAACAAATTTAATTTCACTAAAATTGTAAATGCTTAAGTTTTTTGCCATATTTGCATTTGTATAGTGTCTGTCTAAAGGACGTCAGCAAAATAGGATTCGAAGTTATCAACAAGCTTATGTTGGCTTGTGTGTGTGAGTGCGTGTGTGTGCGTGTGTGTGTCTGTATATATACAAACATGTGGAAAGAAAGCAGAATTCTGTAACAACAGCTTGGAGCAGGGCCAGGTTATCACTTTGCCGGTTCGTCTCCCAAATGTAACACTCTTAGTTGCTGCTCTTTTAAATTTGCTTTGCAAAAAGTTAGTTGAAGGAATCTAGTTAGTTTTTCACATCTTTAGTAGAAAAATATTATGTTAAAATATAAGAAAGAAAATTATAAAAACAGTTATATACAAATACATATATTTGCATATATTTTTTGGGAGTCCGCATATAAAAGTAATTAATAGAGATATATAAATAAAAGTAAAAGATTGATGCAACTTAATAATATGATGAAAAATGTCAACTGATCTGGTCAACAAATTCTTTGAATTGTTGATCCTATTATAACAATAATGACTTTCCTTTCTTGAAGATCCTATTGGAAAATGCTGTGATTGGAAAAGAAATCTTTAATTTGGCTTTTCAATAAACAGAATTCTACGTTTACAATTTGAACCTGTAGCTAAAGCTACATCAAGGCAGAACCATGGGATGGATGGCCACATTCTCATCTTTCTTCACAATTCTACTCTAAGCTGAAACTAGAAACATTTCTTAAGCCGCTTCCGACTACAGACTCGAGCAAGACAATCAGACAGATTTCCCATATTTTTATGTGACGCTTTTCCATATATTTAATTAAATTCAATTTTAAGGCATGAACAAGTTTTTGAAATTTTGTTTTCGCTGCCTTTGAAGCGCGTTTTACATCCGGCTTAGACCTTTCTCCTGCCTATGAGATTGTCACGCGGTTTGTGTTCCTGTTTGATGATGTGCACGGGCATACGAGTATAGGGAGTTTATGGACCCCATCGCTACCTCATTCTATCGAACTGAAAATAAAAACCCTGCGGCCCACACCCGTCGTCAGCTTCGTATTGTAATCGACTTTAATGCGTTTCATTGTTGATGCCACGTGCCGAGCTTTATTAGTTCAATGTACAACATTGGCAGGCCTCATCCTCATGAGGCGACACTACTGTATGTGTGTGTGTGTGTGTGTGCATAAATATGGGGTGGCACCGTAGTTCCTGGCCGGAATGAGACGCGCCGCAGCAGCGATTGCACGCTTTTACGCTTTCAGACACACACATTACCCATGCCACAGGCCAGATGCACCTTCTTTGACGTACGTGTGTGTGTGTGTGTGTGTGTACATGTGTGTGGGGTGGCAGGTGGGCCCAAATGATTGCTGTATTATGTGGCGCCGTTACTAAGTGCTAACCATAGCATACATTTGGGCGAACTAATTGCGCGCATTTATTGTGTGTAATCATTTAGAAGCTTATTTATATATAAAGATGTGTACATATCACACTCTATATAAATATATACATGTATACTTGTATATAGATACATAAAAAGTGAAAAGAGAGTGAGACCAAGCTAAATGCAATTGCCGAAGCTGCTTTGCTGCAGCCTGTCAGCTTTTTATAATGTGAGCTGACTTCTAAGCTGCAAACTAGAGCTAAGAGTGAAGCCTCTTCTACGACTTTGCCTTGAGCCTGGACTTGAACGCCTGCCAATCAGCCTTAATTATATAACACAGCATTCAGTTGAAGAGCTCCTGACAGCGCTGCTCACTTCTTTTTATGCTCAGCTGTGTGTATGTGTGTGTGTGTGTCACAATGGATGCACCGAGCATAAGTAATTAAATTAGAATTTTTTGAGAAGCATAAAAGCGGCTGTGACGCGCTTCTGATTAACGCCCCATTACCATGACGATGACGGCGCCTGTTTGCTGCTGCTCCGCAGCTCATTTGCTCATTTGCTCATTTGCATTTCCAGCAAATTGTACAATGGCCAATGCAATTCCACCCTCCTCTAAACCTGACACTGCGCAATGCTGTTGATGAGGCTGATACTGATTTATGCTGATCTCATTAAAATGTGTTGCATGCAAAGTGGCAAAACGAAGTTTTTAGTTTTTATGCCCATTGTCAAGCACTGTCAATGCGAAAGTGTTGGCTGGTGGTACGGCAGCAGCGGCTGTTATCCGAACATGGCAGCGCCAAGGCCCATCACTCATTGTGTTAATGTTAATCAACGTTGACAAAGCAGCCGCAACGCGCGAAAATGCTTTCTGCTGTATCTGCCAACGGCTGATGTTCGCTTTTAATGCCTTTAACTTAATTAATCAACAGCGAAAAAAAATTATATTCAGCCCTGGAAATGACTCGATGGCGCCGACAGACCCAAAGCGGGCAAATGCCTCAAGTAGTTACGCCTGTTGCTGGCAGTTTTTCGCTTTGGCACCTTCAAAAGTGGCAACGCTTTTAGCCATCCTCCAGCTGAAATATAAAAGAAACTAAGCAATTCACTCTGTATCCGCTTCGAAAATGTTCTCACTCTGAAGACTTGCGCGTTTCAAATTTGAATTTATGAAGCAGTATATGAAGAGAGGATTCGAAAGTGATATGATATTAAATATCATGGAAATATCATTCAAAGAGGCTTTACAGAAAGTCATTAAGACTATAGGAAAACCTACGTTTGACACTGGATTCATAACTATTTGACTCAAACTAATTGACAAACTGTCGCAGCTTAACTGCTTGTCAAATATTTAACATTCAGTTTGAAAATTTAATTGTTCGATTTGTGCTTAGCACGAAAGTAGAACTAGACAACTCAATATTTTATAGAATATTACGGAAACATTAATAAAGTAAACTGTTCAAATCTTCTTTTAAGATATGTCGTCAAAGGGTTGAACAATATAAATATTTTTTAAGGCATAATTTAACCATCTATGCCAACATTTGAACACTTTTAAATTTAAATCATAATATTTGAAATGTCAGGTGACTATTTATATAGCTGCTATAAAAATTGAGTAGTTCAAAATAATGTTATTGAATAAGCAGCATTATGCAGTGCAGCTCTTGGGGTGGAGGGTATCCACCAAGAGGCGTGACTCATAAAGCATTCCTCGAATTCCGCCCTTACAGCACGGCTTATATTTTCAGACAAATTTAATTGAGTGGTCGTTGCCCGGACTCATCTGGCTGTTGCTGGTGCTGATGCTGTTGCTGTTCGTGACGTAGTTGGGGTGCAGCATCACCGCCGAAAATTAAACATTCATAATAATTTGTAAAATAGATGGGTGTATCTCTGCGAATATATGTAGATATACATGTACACAAGTCTGACGTTTGTTTGGGGGAGGATGATTGAGCTACGCTGCGTGGGGGCACTGTTTGTCGATTGCCGTTTGCCGTTTACTGTTTGTCTGCTGAGTTGGCTCGTTTCATTGCCCGGATTGTGGCCAGGCGCAATGGTTGTGCGTTTTTGCAGCGCAAGCAAATGCGAAATGTCAGTCAGAAGCCAAAAGAATTCGAAAAAGCAAAAATATGACAGAGCAACAAGTTGCTTGAGCCTTGTTGAAATATTCAACGAAAATTGTGAGCGCAGCCAAGTCAATAACTAGTGATTGACACACTGAACTCTGGGCTCGTTTCGCAGTGGCTCTGCTCTTTGGTTTGGTTTCTAGACAAACAAACATGGATGCCTGCCTGCGAGACACTCGCAGGCTTTCAAACTAATTGGGCGAAAGTTCGTCTCTCTCTGAGTGGTTGTGGGTGTGTGTGGGTTTGTGTACCAACATCGGGAACAAATAACAATAAGAAAATCGATAAATCCTTATGGATTTGTGTGCTGAGTGCATCAATGTATCTGAATCTTGAGCCCGCACACAGCAGCAGCAGCAGCAGCAGCGGTAGCAAAAGGAACTCAGTAACTCAAATAAAGTACGATACAAGCAAACATATTTGCAATGCGAAAACCAAAGTCAAAGGCAAATAGCAGCCCAAGGGAGGCAGCATCTGAGGCTGAGGCTGCTTGACAGCCGGACGAAATCAAAATGAATCTATCTCACAGCCACACAGATACACACATTCGTTGCGCTGTTGACATAGAACCATTCAATTTATTTTGGGCTCATTAAAGGTCAGCGTAACGCAACGCAAAGCAACGCCACACCCTCAGCCTGAAAGGTCTGTCGAGGGTGTAAATTAAGTGCTTAGCCGTGTCCAATGTTTAATGTCGATTGCGGCCTGTCTGACACTTGTTACACAACACACAAACTGACGAATTGACGGACTGACTAACTGGCACTACTTGTCGCCCTCATTTGGTCAGTTGTTGTTATACTTAAGAGCAACTTAGGATGAAATTCAGAAACTTTATGGGCTTGATATGTGTTCTACTTGCATGCAAACTACAACTAAGATGAGGTTTATGATCTGAATAGAGCTTTAACAAAATATAGCAAACATTTAATACAATTGACTTTAGGAAGTCTTTCAAATTGATAATTACAGTGGAATCTTAGTGAGAGCTGTATAATAGTTCGAGACGCGCTATGAATCAAACTATGATGAAAATTTTCATCTTATATAAGGTTAAATATATTGATTTATGACTAGATACTGAGCGTTGTTGTTATTGTTGCTGTTATCGCTTATGCAATCTAAGTTAGTTTGCATTATTTCAACATAATTTGAAAATATTAATAATAGGCTTTAGATGAACTCCAACAGTCTTTAATAAAATTATCTGTATTATTTTGAAACGGCTGAAATTTCTTAAATTGAAGTCAACATTTGTATTACATATATTAAGATAGATAATTATGTGTATATGTATAAGGAGAGATTGACCTGTGGAATAATAAGTGGCAGGCAGTAACACTTTAACGACACTCTTATCTCTTTGACATCCTTCTTAATATATAGAATAGAATCAAGTTTGAGTTCTGCTAGTCAAATAAGCTAATTTGAGCTGAGCTCAAATATGCTGGCCTTATTCAAGCATTCGTTTAGCTGTGCTTCTCCTTCTCTCAGTTTCAAAGTTTAGGACTTTATTGACCTATCCTTCATAAATAATCCATGTGTTGGTTTTGAGGTTCAACACATTAAGTATATAGGTTTTATGTTATAGTACAGAAGCACAGGCTAGACTTATTGACTCGACTGTTCAGATAGAGCGAGAACAAGTACAAGTATAAGTCTATTTATGCCGACTGTTGGCTCGCTGAATGAGGTGTAAGAAAAAATGATTTCTCTTTCAATTTCTAGTTTCAAAGGATTTTTGTATTTCAATGCATAAAAAATTTTCCTTAAGCAGAAAACGTTAGGCTGTTCTTTCCTTGTAAATTAAAAATACATAAATAAACATTTTCAGATAGTTTTCGAAAGCTGGCATCAATTTTTAATTATTCAGTTTCACAAGTTGCATAGTTGGCTTTTTATTCAGATATTTCGAAATAACAGCCAATCACGGATTCTTTTCATTTGCCATGAATCGCAGTTGAATTGCAACTCCATTTCCACTGCCAATATGTGTTTCTGTGCAGCGTCAAACACGTTTATTCGGATATGCAGTGCAAACTTTGTGACATGGCTCGCATCGTTGAATTGGCCATAAATCTTTATCAGAGTACGAAAAGGCCAGAAAAACGATGAAATTTTGTTATTAACTCAATGGTATTCTATTGCTCTCCGAAAGAAATGAAAAATGAAATCAGCATCAGAAATAAATAAATAATATTGCGTCCATGCAAATTTTAATTAAAACTAGTTTCACAGCCTAGACTCATATTTACAGATATAAAAGACAATTTTATACCTGCTGAGAGCATTTTCAATATAAATATAAAAATGAATTAGCTTTGTCTGTGGGCAAAGCAAGCAATCTGAATTGATTTGAAATTCCTAATATCTTGTGCTCTGTGGATTTAATTGATCAAAGGAGAGAAATTTCACAGAATACTGGCATTTGGATACTGCATGCATTAATTGGCTGTGCATTCGCCTGTATCAAATGACCGAGGAAGATGGCGCGAGCGACGGGAATAGAGGCTTGCTGCACAACCATAGACAGGCCATGTACATGGTTGACATTGTGGAATTTTCCGGTTGGTTTTGCTTTAATTTTAATGACACTGCAACTACAAGCACTCGTCAATATTGACAGTGCAAATTGGAGGCGTGCTCTGTTGTCCATTATTGGATCAAAGTCCAGCCTTGAGGCCACAGGACTGCATTCGCAATCGCTGGCAGTGGGCAGGCGGACAGACTGGCATGCAGGACATTGTGCTGATAGCTGCGCACTTTTAATAAACGCTGCTTAAGCTCAGCTCTCGCTGAATAGATATGAACACATGTATAGACGTAAATGGATGGGATATATATGCGAAGTGCTTCTTAGGTGGATTTTGAAGGACTTTATTGGTGCACTTCGAACAAAGCTTACACTCTATAGACTATCTACTGTTTCTTTCTTTCTCTTTTCATGGTGGCCCGCAGTGATCCGCCCGTTCTGCAGGCGCACAACAATACGGACATCATACTGCGTTTACCCATGGGCAAAAGGATTAAGGACATTCGATGGCTCTCGGTATGGTGCAGACGCTTTACGGTAAGTCCTTCCATTTTGCCGCTTTTCTTGGATGCTCGAAACGGCACGCGCCGTCCGAATAGATTTATGTATGTTGTTAGTGAGGACCAAGACCATTTTGTAATTACATTTTTGTAATTTAACTGCAGCTGGATAAAGGTTTTTTCCCCACCCTTCCTTATCCGACTCACTGTGTGCATTACGCTTTTTCAGACCAAAGTTGCAGGCATCGATTTACTTTTGCTTCTCACTTTAATTTATTTTATTATTTTCCCCCTTCTTTTTTTTTTGCTCTTTTGCTACTGCTGCTAAATGTGGGTCAGTTTTGTTAGCCAAGTGAAAAGTTTGTTTTCATTAGACTTTTTAGATTTGTAATTACATTTTTGCATAGACAAATGCGCATCCGAAAGCCAAGAGCCTAGCCGCACCCCATTTCATTTCATGCTGCCTCTATCCACGTCCTGGCGTACATACACAAAAATGAAATTCTCTTTGGAGCCGAACTGAAATTTACTTTTGTTTAAGTTCGGCAAATAAAATGCATTTATATTGTGAAATAAATCTGCAAACGCTATCAGCACTCGTTCAGCAACATTTTTCTGGTTAATCATATTGGGGGTTGGGGACTCGGGGATTGGAGCTTGGGACGTTGAGGGCGTGGAGTTGAGGTTGCCGTTGCATGTGGCCGGGTGGAGCTGTGGAAGCCAAAGATGGCCGCCATAGTAAAATAAATTACAGCAGACATTTTTGATTAACTCAAGTGGTTGCATGTACACACAAAAACACACACAAATACACGCAGACACGCTGGCATATACACACACTAATACAGAGACGAATTATACAGGGTGTCGAGTTGTTACTGTTTTAAATACGTATACGTACACATATAGATATATATGAGTATAAGTATGCGTGTGTGTGTAGCTGTATTTGTGTTACGCACGCTCTCTGTTTCTCCGCATCCATTGACTGACAGCCAAAAAGTTCTTGGGGGCTGGCACTCACACAAGCGCTGGCTGCTCAGATTGGGGGTTTGTTCGTTTGTGTGTATGTGTGGTTTTATGGAGTTCTGCGCGCGCATACCTATTTTTTGGGGGGGCTTCGCAAGTCCGATGCCTTGCATATACATATATAAGGTTTTATATACAAATATTTGGTATACAACAACAGCAGAGGGAAAACTGAAATAAATTCGACCTTGCACATACACTATTCATTGGAAACTCTTTATCATTGCATGCTCTCTTCAGGTCGATTTTGGTGAGGTTTTTATACCGCCTGGCATAGATGTGCCCAAGCCACGTGTATTGCCAGAGTTCAGACGTCTGGCCCACGGACTTCGCTCCAGCAACATAAGCGTTTTGGACGCCAAAACATTTTATATGTAAGCTTAATCTGTACAATTAGACTTAGATTTTATTACCAGATTGGCATTATCTGTATATCATTCATTTTACAGTCCCAATCTGCACTATGACGGCGCTGGACCCGATGCCTATTTCTGGGTTGGCAATGGCAGCGAACCTAACATTATGGGCATTAAGGTGTGTTTTAAAGAGTTCTACAAATATACCGAACAGCTGAACGAATCATTGAATTTGCATTGCAATTTATACTTTTGTTATGCTTTAGGTTCCCAATGAGATTGGATCATTGGAACCGTTGCGCGGCTACCAGGGTGAGGATATCGAGATTCAGCTGCCCGGCAGTTTGACCGTTTACGATATTGACTGGCTGGCAGTGTGGTGCGTGGAGTTCAGGCACAACTTTGGACACGTCTTCATACCCAAGGACTTGGATGTGCCGCCTGCATTGGGTCAAACGAAAATTACGGTAGGTGCCAAGTGGTCATCAATCAAGAAATTAAATTCAAATGCCATTCATGTATATATATAAATATATATAATTATACATATATATGTTAACTATTCACACATTCGCACACTAACATACACCTGTACTTAATCATATGCTCGTTCCCACACAACTCATAATTGTATATCTCTTTAACGCATTCGCGCCGCATTAGCCATCATGGTGGTATTCACCCGTAAGTACTAGCCCTGGCCACATGCATGCTGCAAGTTGTTTAGAGGAATCCTTTAAACTTAGTTTTCGTTTCTGCTGATTTCAGACCACAACAACGCCGCGGCCCGTCTACTCCAATTGCCGCGAGATTCTGCCCAATAAGCTGCAGGTTAAGTGGGAGCTGCAAGGCGAATATGTGCAGATCGAGCTCTTCGGTCGCATCAGCGAGGATCAGTATATGGCCTTCGGTCTGTCCGGTGCCAACGGGCGGGCCCAAATGGCCCAGTCTGACGTTGTGGTGGCCTTCTACGATACGAATGCTCGAGTGTTCCGCGCTGAGGACTATTTCATCTCAGATTTATCACAGTGCGACGGCCATCGCGGTGTCTGTCCGGATGAGCGGCTTGGAGCGCGCAACAACGTGGTTGTGGGTATGTTATTCAAGCTAATTTCTTCAGGCGAGCTTACTTAGATTTCGAACATGCAGTGAGTGGGGATCGCAAAGGCGGCGTCACCAGCATTCGCTACAAGCGGCTGCTGCAAACCAATGAAGCCATTTACGATATGCCAATACCCATTGATCGCGAGGTGTCGATCATAGCTGCCGTGGGACCACTCAATGCCCGAAAGGAAGCCAACGCGCATTCGCACACTTCCAGCGATCACAATCCCGACGACATACGCATCAACTTTTCGAAGCGGGTGAGCAGGAAGTCAGTCTACAAAAACTAAGCTAGCTTAACTCAGGCATTTAACTATGTTTGCAGAACGATCATTCGTGCAAGAACTCGCTGTATGACGTCAAGGACGAGAGCGGTCCCAAGCCGTGGCCTACGCGCAAGATCAAAGGGGAGCAGAAGTTCCGCGCTAGCATCGGAGCCACAGGGGGCAAACGTGGCTATACAGCCATTACGGGCGTGCCGTCATGGGGTATTGCTTGGTATATCAACGATCTGTTAATTCCGGAAATAACAGTGGAACGTGGCTTGACCTATGAGTTCTTAATCGAAGGCGGCAACGATCCTGCACAGCCAGCCAGGCAAGTTGCAATTCTGACTTAGCTTGGGCTTTTCAATAATGTCAACTGTCATGTGATCTTCCATAGATATCATCCATTTTACATCACGGACTCGCCGGAGGGTGGCCTGGGCCAAAAGACTGGCCTAGAGGCGCGCAAGCAAAAGGCCTACGCGGGCGTTGAATATGACGAAGACGGCAATGCGATACCCACAGGCGGTAAGCGGTCAATAACCAGCAAATCCTTGAGATTTTTTTAACTTGAGACTGATGCAATTTACAGTGGGTCGCTATTGTGAATGGGAGCATCGAACTGTCGATCGATCTGCTGAATTCGATGACTTTGAGCAATACAAGAGCACACTGGTCTTCAAATGTGAGGATGGCGAGCCAGGCTATATGAACTGGACGGTGCCCATGAATGCGCCTGACACACTATATTATCAGGTTGATCCACTTGCTCAGAGTATGCCGAGGTTCTTTTACTTACGGGAATCATTGCTTATTTCAGTGCTTCACCCACAACAATCTGGGCTGGAAGATAAACGTGGTGGATGCCGGCGCAAGTACCGCACCTGTGCATCGTCAACTCGGTCGGAATCAATGGCTCTTCTACATTATGCTAACAGTTTTGAGCCTGGTTGCAAGTTCTAGACTGACAAATGGTTTGCTGGCTTGACAGCCAGATCGTCAGTAAACTGCTGTTGAGGCGTGTTCCCAGATCTTTTGGCACAACTTGACAAATTGGTTGCTTTACGCATATCTATCATACTCAGTCTACATATCCTGAATCATATTGAAAGTATTTTTTAAACAAGTTTTCTAAACGAATTTATAATTTCATCAACTATTGCAATATCAAATTCAAAAAGCTCCAACAACTTATTGCTTGCTAAAGTCCTGGGAACACTTTCAATGCATTCACGAGAATTACAATCAGGCTAATATCATCTGAGAAAAAAACATATCTTCATCATAATTTTTAAGGTGCAAAACTGTTAAGAACTACTGTAAATGGCAGTGGTGCCTACTTACTGCGCCAACTGTAGCTGTAGCTCTAGACACATACAGTAAGGCCAGTAGATTGTGCTTAGGTTGGAATGGAATGGAATGGAACGGGAAGCGCAGAGGGAACTCTTTGTATATTTACGTATATGGAACTCTACTTTTTTACGTGTATGCAACGGGAATACGAAACTTACTTATACACTTACATTTACAGTAAAACTTGTAATTTTTCTAGAAGCAACTACTACTTATACACATACACGTATACATATATATAGATATATATATATACATATATATATGTCTCAATAAGACGGTTCTATGTAAATGTAAACCGACAATAAAACGCGACACGATGACAATAAATGACAATAAATGTGCGCAAAACAATTTGTTGGGCCGAGACTAAGGCTCGATTAATGTTGTACAATAAGGAATTAATAATGTTAAGAGTTTGCTAACACGAGAGATATGACAATAAAAGTAATTCATATATATTAATCTCAAAGGACAATACAAACACACAAACACATATAAAACTCTACACATTTTAAATGTATTACTAAAAGAAAGCACAATACTTTCATATAATTACGACACTTTGTTATGGAATGATGTTTATTTTTATTGCTACTGACTACTGTGGTGCTTCATGTAATAATATCATTGACAATATTCGGGAGTATTGAATAATAATAATAATAATTACGATCGGAATTCATGGAAAGGATTCCAACTTTTGTTATCGAATGTTTTTCTTGTAACTTTTAAAAACTCTTTGACTAGTTAATGTTTTTTATGAATAAATGTATACATAACTTTGGTTCATTGCAATTATGAAATGAATGCATTATGTAAAGATCATCTCAACTTCGGGACAATAAACAAATGTCGAATAAATAATAAATGCTAATTAACAACAAATCACTTGATGATTGTTGAATACGTGTATCAAAATGGAATATTAGACAATATAAAAGTTTTTGCAATTAAGTAACGTTTGTACTAAATACCTTTTTGGTAGCTGTACGCAAGTTTGGGCATGGGTTTGTTATACACAAGACAAAGAAAAGAATCTATATACTATATATATATATATATATAAAAATTGTATATACTAAACATATATACTAAACATTTCTAGTTCTCGATAAAATACAAAAGAAAAAATTAAAAAATCAACAACTTTTTAGTACATAAAATCCTTAAAAAGTATTTTAAGTTTCCGTTATATGGTTTTGTTTAAACCCGATTTTTGTAACGTTATTTTGAACTATTTTGCATGGAAATTGAAGTGAATAGCGAAAGCAGAGCAACAGAGCCATCAAATTATTAGAGATTTTGATAACAACATTTGAGATTTACGTATATATATATACAGAGGAATAGGCTTACGACCTGGGGCTCGATTGAGTTTGTAAGGCAATTGAATATTTGTATAGATTATTTTGCTGCTAAGCGCACAAAAAGTCCAACAAAAAAATACAAAAAAAAAAACAAAAAACAAAAGCAAACTCAATTTATAAATACATTTTCGTATAGTATTGAATTAATCTACATAAATGTAATATCAATATACACACTTATGACTTGCAATGAATAATCCAAATACATACAAACATTTCTATATAATATACATATATGTATATATTTACATATATATGTTTATAGAAGAATTTTCATGTCGATTATCAATTACACAGCTCATTCTGTACTTAAGTAAACTTAGATAGCAACATTTTTCTGCAAAAAAGAATAAAAATAAAAAACCTAAAATCATTTTTCAAAATAAAAAGAAAACTTTCATAATCTTGCATTGAAGTCTCCAGACATAATTAACTAATAGATAATATGCATGCAAGAACTACTCCATTTTAAACGTTATTAAGCCTCAGACAATAATATAAATCATGTAAATCCATTGTAAGTGGAAGCGAAAATCAAAAATCAAAAATCACATTAACAAACTGCTTCAATAGAGGCGAGCCCTTACAACAATAACTAAGTGGTAGACAATTGAAACATTGATGTCAATAAGCAGCTTCAACAAAGTTTAATTCAAAACTGCTACAAAACATATTCTAGAAATAAACTTGAAAATAAAAAAAAACTAAAACAAAAACAAATAAAATTTGCATTCAATTTTATACTAATTAGAGCAGACACACCGGATTTCTTCGTTGTTGCTTTATTCAAATTTCTTGCAATTATCGCATGGCAACGGGGCGATTGATAAGATGCGCCAGATGCGCAGCAATTTCGACAACAGATGCTCGAAGCACCTGAGATACACTCAGGTGACACTGTGAACCTTCACCCACAACAATTGCGCTAGATTCTGAAAGCTGCGTCAGCGTTCAGGTTCTTTTTTTGGCTATATAAGCCATGGGCTGGGTGCCGAAAAAGCAACAGTCTTTAGGCATTGGATCCCAGTTGTGTGTCTAATCCGGAGCAGTTGAGAAGGAGAAGGAGCAGGAGTACCTACGACATTTCAACATGAAAATTGCTATTGCATTGCTGGCCTGTTTGGGTCTGGTCGCTGCGGCCAGCTTCCATCAGACGCACGAGGTGAAGATCGCTGACAAAGCCTTCCTAGCCAAACAGAAGTTTTTGTTTGAGATCGTCTACCGTGTGGAGGATCCTTTGATGTTTGAAGAGTATATCAAGAAGGGCGATAAGTTCTACTTCGATGAGTCCTACTATACTGTAAGTAACTCGGCTATCCTTCTCGATCACTATATTTTAACATTGTTCAACTGCCGGGGCACAGCACTATGACATCTACATGAAGAAGTTCTATGAAGCTTACAAGGCGCATTCGCTGCTGCCCAAGGGCGAGTTCTTCGGCCAGCTAGTCAAGGCTCACGCCAAGCAGGCACGCGGTCTTTTCAACTTCTTCTACTATGCCAAGGACTTCGAGACATTCTTCCACAACGTGTGCTGGGCACGCATGCATGTCAATGAAGGCATGTTTGTCTATGCTCTGACTCTGGCCGTCATCCACCGTCAGGACTTCCATGGCCTGATGCTGCCCTCCATCTACGAGATCTTCCCACAGTTCTTCTTCAACAGCAAGTTTGTTTACGAGGCCGAGAAATTCGACTATGAAATGTGGACCAAGATGAACATGTACGAGAAGGAGTATATGGATGTCTACTACAAGGATCACAAACACTCCCACATGTATCAGACCAGCGATTACATGTACATGAAGGACTGGAAGATGTGGCAATGGTGGAAGCTGATGGGTTTGGGCGAACACTTTTACAGCGAGAACAAGTTCATCCTCCGTGAGAACATCTACGAGTTTAACCAGGACACCAAGTGGCAACAGATGATGAAGGATCTGCAGGTCTGGTGGATGCCAGTCGACTACAGTCGCGATCTTAATATGTACAACGAGGAATCCAAGCTGTCCTACTTTACCGAGGATTTGGGCTGGAACGCATACTGGTACTACCTGAACTTGGACTACTCCTTCTTCCTGGATGGCAACACCTTTGGACTGAAGAACGATCGTCGTGGTGAGCTGTGGCTGTACACCGTCCACCAACTGCTCTCCCGCTACTACATGGAGCGCCTGTCTCATGGCTATGGCGAAATTCCTGAATTCTCATGGTACAGCCAGATCGAGATGGGTTACGATCCTCAACTGATCTACTACAACGGCATTGGCTACAGCTTCCGCAAGAACTACTACGAGTTGGAGACCTACGGCAACTTCGAGATGCTCGACAAGATCACCGGTTTCATGAAGCGTGTACACGACATTGTTGACATGGGCTACTACAAGACCGCCGATGGACACATGATCGATTTGCGCAAGCCCGAATCCATTGAATACATTGGCAGCGTTATGCAGGGCAATGTTGACAGCATGGACAAGATGTTCTATCAATTCTGGTACATGTTTGCCCATATGTACTTCGCCGATGCCGACTACTACCAGATGGAGGTCTACCCCAACGTGATGCTCAACTTCGAGACAATGATGCGTGATCCTATGTACTACATGTTCTACAAGTCGATCGCCCAGATCTACTTCAAGTTCATGCACTACCTGCCCAAATACACCAAGGAGCAATTGATGATGCCCGGCGTCGCTCTGAAGCATGTGGAAGTCACCGAGCTGGTCACCTACTTCGATCTGGTTGACTTTGATGTGACCAACCTGATGAACGACAAAATGGTCTTCCATGATGGCAAGTTTGTCTGGGATAAGTCGCTATACGCTCGCCAGATGCGTCTCAACCACAAGCCATTCACCTACACCTACACTGTTGAGTCCGACAAGCCCGAGAAGGTTGTTCTGCGCGCATTCATTGGACCCAAATTCGACGAATTCGGCCGCATCATTTCGCTCACAGAGAACCGCATGAACTTCATGGAAATCGATGAGTTCTACTACGAACTGAAGGCTGGCACCAACATGATCACCCGCAAGTCCAACGACTTCTACTGGACCGTCAAGGACCGCACCAGCTACAGCGAACTCTACTACTACGTAATGATGGCCTTCGATGGCAAATACGATTTCCCTCTGGACATCAGCGAGGCCCACTGCGGCTTCCCAGACCGTCTCATCTTGCCCATGGGCTGGAAGAAGGGCATGCCCATGCAAATGTTCTTCATGGTTATGCCATACAACGCACCCACTAAACACGAACAGTTCTCAACCTTTGACTACACCTACTCTTGCGGCATTGGATCCGGCGCTCGCTTCATCGATGATATGCCATTCGGATATCCCTTCGATCGCGAGATCGATGAGTACGAATTCTACGTGCCCAACATGTACTTCAAGGATGTCCCCATCTACCACGTCGACAGCATGGAGCAGTACTACAAGTACAAGGGCTACACCAGCTACGGTCAATTCGACTACACTTTCTTCCATGACTACTACACCAAGTACTTCAAGTTTTAAGTGGAACGATAGACGACATAACGAGACACTTTTGATGACAGCGACCGAATTCATATGTGGAAATGATTGCAAATGTTAGATTGTAAGCTGAGCAAAAAGTGAAATAAACTTTCGAAAAACACAAACAACACTATTTTATTTTTAATATATTTAATATTCCAAGTAGAAACAGAATAGCAAACATTGTACCCATCTACGGACTGCAGGAAGATAAAATAGGACTATCCAGAAGATCTTCAAGTAAATGATTATTTTCAACAACTTACATACCAAAATATGTCAAAAAAATATTGCACACAATTATGTTTTTATAAACTCAGATGTATTTTCTTTTATAAAAGTCAAAAATTCCGTTGCATAAATAATTTTCTGCGTTCACAAACTCACCACCATTCACACTACTAAATTGTGTTGCATACTTTGAGGGAATGTATTTGATAAAAATGAACTTATAATTCTCAAGCGGTTTTAACAATAAGAACATGGTATGCCGAAGTGAGAGCTGAGTTAAGCATACTTACCTGGCGTAGAGGTTAACCGTGATCACGAAGGCGGTTCCTCCGGAGTGAGGCTTGGTCATTGCACATTCGGCTGAGTTGACCTCTGCGATTATTCCTAATGTGAATAACTCGTGCGTGTAATTTTTGGTAGCCGGGAATGGCGTACGCGCCGTCCCGACATACTTTAATCAATATGTGTTAGAAAGAACTGGAATATGTTTGTAAACTAAAACAACAATAATATAGAGACAGCTGTCAGTTAGTTTAAACTTAACAGAGTTACTTATGTTTTACAGACACAGCTTACATTGGCAAACTTGATACGCGCTTCGATAGCAATTGTTCGGCGGTTAGGCGATAGGTTTTGGCTGTAATCGAAAGCACTGCGCAACCCTGGCGAAACTTCTTGGCGCCCAAAATTCAAACACAAATAAAATTTTTATGCAATGCACGCTTTAATCAAAATATACACGCGTATGTAATTTGTATGTGTATCGCTAGATTTTTATTTTACAGTTTATTATATTTATTGAATTTTATTTGTAATGTGGTATTTGTTAACATTATCGCGTCCGCAATATTTCTTGAACACAGTGTGTTTTTTTGTTGAACTTTTCGTTTTTTGTTTGTTTTTCTTTGCATACAAAATTATAATACAAATAATTGTTTCATGTAACATAATAATTTATAATGTGTGTAGGCAGAAATTTTGTTTGTATATGGTTGTTTCTTCCAATTCCTTCTAATATTTGTTAAAGTCGGGCGACAAACTTTTTAAACTGTACATATTTTTAGAATTTTCCGTTTTTTTTTTTGTGTGTGAAGTGGTATTTGTAATTGTTTTGTTTTTTAGTTGTAAGCTCTAGATTTGGTAAAAAATACATAAATTAATTTGTTAGTTGCTTGTCTGTGCAAAATGGGGATACCATATTTGCTGCGATTGTTTTTGTTTATGTTGAAATTATGATTTAATCTAATACAGAATTACATATACAGTTTAGGCAGATATAAGCTTAAACGAGTACAATTTAATTAAACGAATCAAGTCAATTATGAGTTCGATTTTTGAATGCACATTGAATTTGTTAATTGAATTTTCATCATCGCTACGGAAATAATTTATACAACAGGCAAATATTTAAATAGGAAACAAAATATTTTTAAAAAATGTGTGGATGTTTGTATATATGACATGCAATTTGGGGTCTGTTGCATATAATTGATATTGTAAATGATTGCGTTTAAATAATTACTAAACATTTGTATTAGAGCAATTAAAGCAATTAACTTTCGCAAAATACATATATATATGCAATTTACTTTCGTTTTAAATTATATTTTCTTGAATTTTTCGTATTAATACATATATAATTAATTAATTATAATAAATAAAGCCTAGTTTTAATGCCTGCTTCAAACTTCGACATTGCTCAATTACTACAAATACATATCTACTATAAAGATGTGCATATACATATACAACTTTAATCTAAATTATCCTGGAAAATTAATTTAATGTAGCCAGTCGCGCCATCCAGCGGTGTCGCACAGAATGGACAAACGGCCTGAAAGCCATTAGTTCCGTGCGGTATTTCCACATTTGCCCAGTACCTGAATATAAACAAATAGTCACTTTAGAATGATTTCTTTCTTTGGGTAGTTTGACATGTGAATTGTACGAACTTGACAGTTTTTTCAGTCGCCATGTGTCCACATGGATTGAATGCGAATGTGGGTGCACCCACATCCACATAGAAGGCCGGCTCTAGGCCCATACACAAGGTAACAACAGGCCCCAATTCTAGGCACATAGGACAACGGCGAGCACCAGTATTCTCATCCTGACCCCAGTCATGATGACCTGTTGGACAAGCGATTCGTGATTTTCAATACAAAATTGTCTATTAAATGTTTCGTTAACAAACCTTGCACATGGCCGCAGTTTAAGTACACATAAGGCTGATTAACCTGATCACTAATATTTACTTTACGTGGTATAACCAATGTATTGAGGCCCACCGGGCACTGTGGACGACCAGCGTTAATGGCATCGATAAGCTTTTCCAAATCGTGTTTGGTCTGCAAATAAGACGAGTTGTTATTAAAGTCAATAGAAATCAAGGCTCATTTTTGTTTATTACCGGTGAATGCTGCAAGCCCTCGGCGGAACGCCAGAGCAGCGTTGCGCCGCAGAGATCAATGAGTGTGCCATCCTGCAAAATGTTGCATTCGTCATAGATCTGTGCAAAAAAGAGCATACATATAGATTAGATACAATTCATTTTTATCCTATAAACATATATATTCATATATATAATCAACGTACAGGCTGACCCTTTTGTTGTGCCGAACGCGACTCGCGCAGGCTGAAGACATCGCCACCCACGGAGCACTCGCGCCATAGGCCGCACTTGGCGTTGCCGCCACAGAACGAGCCCTTGGGATGCATTATTAACACACCGTTTGTGGTCAGACCGTCGATTTCCACATTATCTTGCCATTTGGTGGCCTTTTCCTGCCACAATAAAAGAGGTTCATTAGTATGAAAGTTGCATAATTAGTTTAGTTCAGTTTACTTACGCCCAAGAATATATTTCTGCTCGAATCAAATCCAGCGGCAAAGATTTTTGCCTTGGCGGGCTCACAGCGATTCACCAAAATTCGGCACGCGAAACGTGAAATCGTGCTCTGCATTACCTTCGCATCCTTCTTATCACCTGGCAACGTGTCCATTACAACAAAATCAATGGGCGATTCTGACGAACGACCCACCTAAAAATAGTTGAACAAAGGTCTGATTAGTCAAAGCAATCGCTGATTAGGCCCCCTTTGGTTGACCTAGTATATATCTATACACACACACACACGCACACACACGCACACACACACGCATACTTAATGCAGCACTCAACCGTCGTTTGATCAATCTATCAATGTTCAAATAAATGCCAAATCATGCAATATTAGTATTTCACTTGAAACTCGTAAGGAAGTGCAAATGAAATTGGACGCGTTGCCATGCCGGACTCGAAAAGGCAATCAATATAAATAACAAATATGTGTTCGTAGTTTACATGTCCGTTTTCTTATTGAGCTTTAAACCCCGTTATAGAAGGAGTGTTAAATATTTGTCAATCAGATTTCAGTTGCAAAGTCAAAGGAGAAAGGAGAGATTCTTTCAGAGTTTTATCGCTTTAATTTATTGACATTTTATTCCTTTTTTATAAACTCACCTGAAACATATCCGTTTCTGTGTCCTCCTTGTACTCAACAATGACGGCCTGACTGCGCGACAGTGTATACGATATTGAGTGCTGGTTAGCATCCAGTATAGCTTTCGATGTCTGTGGTGATTGTACGATATAGTGTTTGGATCGCTTGACGCCGCTCGGCTCCGTGCGTTTGTGCAGCACGAATTTGGAGCGCCGACGACCGCGATCGCCCTGCGGTAAGTAGCCATTGTAGCTGAAAGAAACGAAACAATATTTCACTGAATGAGTCTGAAGTTTTGGGGCTGATTTATGATAAAGGCAATGCATGCCTGCTGCGTTAGAGAGACGGCCCCAGTCAGCACATCAGCCTCCATTTTGGGACCTAGACTATTACGAAACACAGCGAGAACAATTTGTTTCATTCAGTTTATGGGTCAAGTTCTGCCTCGGTCGGCAATGTGTATACAGAATCAGTCATACCCCAGCCCCAGCCCCAGCCCTAGCCCCTGCCTAAGGCACGAATAATGAGTTGAAACACCACAAGAGAACTTTGTATATAAGAGTACATTGGCGAGTCAATAAGTTAATTGCCAGATCATTAGTGGAATTCTATGGGCTTCTCTGGCATAGAGGCAGAAGTATTTAAGTTGTCAAATGGTTTGCGCTATAAAAGATCTCTTAATAGCATTTGCGGCTGTCGATCGCACACACATCGCTCTTTGATTACCCAAAAGACACGCACGCTGCCCATCAAAGGGTTAGATCGAAGAGTTTATTAACACAGTGAACACTCGCTAATAGAAACTATTTCGATATGTCTATGTCTATCTGAGTTCAAAAAAATAGTTTTTATTGCTCAAAATAATAATATTCACTAATTAAATTAAAACAAATTGAGCTCTTTTTCATAGCATGGAACTTGAATGGTTTATTGTTAAATGTTTAGGTATTAACTGTATTTTTCTCTATTATTTTTAAAGTATTTCTTTACACTTATTTCCAAAGCATTAGCTAACAGAACACATAAATACCTAAGCACATAAAAACAGTTCCATTTCTACCTAAGTTTTGACAATCTAATGAGCTGACAGCCCACATAAAGTAGCAATAATAATGTATACGATTTTATTAACAAACGTGCCGATGAACCCAAGCCTTTACAGACACGGCATAAACATTGTGAATATATATAAAAAAAAACAATAATTACTAGGCTATTTCTATGGAATAGTATATCCAACACGGGATATATAAAAGCCTACACATGAAGTTCTTGGAAAATCAAAGTGAAAAAACAACAGAAATAATTCGAACAAAATAAACAAGGTCTGAACATAGTGGGAATTGTTGACATTTGAGGCCCGTAATTATATGGACACTAATGCTTGTGATGTTATGATATAT